GATCACAAATACATGGAACTTAAATAACACGCTACGAACCAACAAATGGGTCAAATAAAAAAAGAGCAAATTTTAAAAATACGTGGAGACAAATGAAAATGAAAACACAATGGTCCAAAATCTTTGAAATGCAGCAAAGCTGATCTAAGAGGGGAGATTATAGCAGTACAGGCCTGGCTCAAGAAGCAAGAAAAATCTCAAATAAAGAATCTAACCTTACACCTAAAAGAGCTAGCAACAGAAGAACAAACACAAAACCAGTAGAAGGGAGAAAATAATAAAGATTAGAGCAGAAATAAAAACCAGGAACTAAAAAAGCAAGAACAGGAGCTGGTTCATTGAAAAGTTCAACAAAATTAATGAACCTTTAGCCGGACTCATCCAGGAAAAAAAAAAAAAAGGATCAAAACCCTCCTAGGATTGAAGATTCTGGGGGCCTTACAGGTAATCAGGAAGGTCACTTCCCAGCAGGCCCGGGAACAAAGACGTTCACCCAAATTATAGGTATTGTATTTCTCACCTTGGGAGAGTAATACAGGCTTTTGAAAGTCCAATCTGAGATTTCTTATGAAAACTTCCTGCAAAGCAAACGTATGGCTTAACACTTACCACACCCACATAAATAACTGGGTCACACTTATTGAAGCCAGCCTCATTTTAAGGGCCTAGAATGATCTTTATTTGAAAAAAAAATTTTTTTATCGAAAAGGTGGAGGGAGACAGTAATAAGCAATTTAAATTTTGCAATAAACAAAATACACTAGTGATATTTCTTTTTTTTAAAGATTTTATTTATCTGTTTGTCAGAGAGAGAGTGAGAGAGAGAGCACAAGCAGGGGGAGTGGCAGGCAGAGGGAGAAGCAGGCTCCCAACTGAGCAAGGAGTCCGATGAGGTACTCAATCCTAGGACCCTGGGATCATGATCTGAGCTGAAGGCAGATGCTTAACTTACTGAGCCACCCAAGCATCCCATACATTAGTGGTATTTCTCTCTTTTTTTAAATTAACATACAAGGTATTATTCGTTCCAGGGGTACAGGTCTGTGATTCATCAGTCTTACACAATTCACAGTGCTCATTACAACACATACCCTCCCCAATGTCCATCACCCAGCCACCCCATCCCTCCCAACCCCTTCCACTCCAGCAGCCCTCAGTTTGTTTCCTGACATTAAGAGTCTTTTATGATTTATCTCCCTCTCTGGTTTCATCTTCTTTCATTATTTCCCTCTCTTCCCCTATGATCCTCTGTCTTGTTTCTCAAATTCCACATATCAGTGAGATCATATGATAATTGTCTTTCTCTGATTGACTTATTTTATTTGGCATAATACCCTCTAGTTCCATCCACATCATTGCAAATGGCAAGATGTCATTTTTGTTGGCTGCATAATATTCCATTTTGTGTGTGTGTGTGTGTGTGTGTGTGTGTGTGTGTGTGCCACATCTTCTTCATCCATTCATCTGTCGATGGACTTCTGGGCTCTTTCCACAGTTTGGCTGTTGTGGACATTGCTGCTATAAACATTGGGGTGCACGTGCCCCTTCAGATCACTACATTTGTATCTTTGGGGTAAATACCCAGTAGTGCAATAACTAGGTTGTAGGGTAGCTCTATTTTCAACACCTTTCTGGATTATCTGATTCTGATTCTAACAGATCCTACCTTTCATCCCCTTGGAATCATCTTACAGCTTTAAATTGTAGATGACCAACAGCAATGCAGACACTTCCTTTTTATAGATATACAAATAAATATGGCTCAGCGGAGATTCAATTGTTTTTTCTTGTGGAAAAAGCCAATCTCCATCTATTTTTAAATTCATTTCAGAAAAACGTAAATGTTGGGGCACCTGGGTGGCTCAGTCGGTGAAGCATCTGCCTTCGGCTCAGGTCATGATCCCGGGGTCCTGGGATCGAGCCCCACGTCGGGCTCCCTGCTCAGCAGGAAGCCTGCTTCTCCTTCTCCCTCTGCCCCTCCCCCTGCTCATGCTCTCTCTCTCTCTCTCAAATAAATAATCTTTTAAAAAATGTAAATGTCATAAACACTTTATTTTACAGATTATAAAACTGAATTTTAAAAACAAAACAAAAAATTGATTTCATCATTCCTTTACTCCACATAGATTTCTGGGTTTGAACTTTCCTTTTGAACTTGTAACCACTTCCTTGTTGTCTCATTAGTTAACAAGTTAAATAAACCTTTGACACACTGTGCCAGTTTTTTAGGAATGCTGAAACCAATTACCACAAACTTGGTGGCTTACAATGACAGAAATCTGTTCCGTTAGAGTGCTGGAGGCCAGAGATCTGAAATCAAGGTGTTGGCAGGGCTGGCTCCTGAAGGCTCTGAGGGAGACCCCGCTCCAAGGCCCTTTCACGCTTCTGGTGGTGCCCGCCATCCTGGATGTCCCTGGGCTTGTGGCCACATCGCTCTGTCTGTAGGTCCACATCAGCTTTTCCTCTGTGTCTCAGGTCTCTCTCTTCTCCTATAAGGACACCAGCCACTGGAATTAGGGCCGTCCTCCTCCAGGATGGTCTCATCCAGAGAACTTTAATTCAATTACATGTGTAACAACCCTATTTCCACATGAAGTCACATCACAAGCTGCAGAGGTTAGAACTTGGACATATCTTTTGCAGGGACATTGTTTAGTCCCCACGCACATGTTCATTTTATGTTTGTGTGAGAAATCGTGCTTCTTAGTAAATACATACTTCCATTTTTAAAAAAAGATTTTATTTATTTGAAAGAGACAGCGAGAGCATGAAAGGGGAGGAGAGGCAGAAGCAGGCTCTCCGCTGAGCGGGGAGCCCAACGCAGGGCTCGAGCCCAGGACCCTCAGGATCATGACCTGAGCTGAAGGCAGACACTTAATACTGAGCCACCCAGGTGCCCCACACTTCCTTTTTAAGAAACAACAGTTTTGTAGATTCATGGGCTTGGGAACACAGGGGTGCTGGGAGATTTGGGAGGTGTACTTGGGAGTGGGGGACCGACCAGGCAGCACTGCAGTGGAGTGTGTCTGGGGTTTGCATGGACCAGGAATAGTGGTCACTTGGGGGAAGGTTTTCTTGGCACTCCTAGGGCCCGGCCATCTCAGTTTTGGGGAACTGACTTCACGTAGCCCCACCAGGGGTAGATTCCCCCCTTTCAGTCCAGGGGCCTGTACCTGGGACAGGAGCCCCAGGCAGTACTAGGGTCCTTTGACGTGGCAATAGAACAGAGTCCATTCCTTTGTGTGTTTGGGGAGAGGGAACCGGCTGTACTTGTTTCCCAAAAGTGGACAAGAAAGCCCCTCCCCCATTCCCAGCCCCAGGCGTGGCCCAGGCTTCCAGCAGTGTCTGTGTTTGGGCTCATGCTGCCATTCTCAGCCTTGCCGGTGTCACTTCCCAGACACTTTAGAAGCATTGTTATGTGGCCTACACTATCTCCTGGACCTGTTTCAATAAACATCATGGGGGGGGCGCCTGGGTGGCTCAGTTGGTTAAGCAACTGCCTTCGGCTCAGGTCATGATCCTGGAGTCCCAGGATCGAGTCCCGCATCGGGCTCCCTGCTCAGCGGGGAGTCTGCTTCTCCCTCTGACCCTCTTCCATCTCTCATTCTCTCTCTCTCAAATAAATAAATAAAATCTTTAAAAAAAAATAAAAAAATAAACATCATGGGGTCAGGTGAGGAGGCTCAATGTATGCAACTGGGAACATTCCAGAAAGCCCGCCTTTGGAAGGGGCTCAAGGTCCACTGTCAGGCCCTAGCCCGGACTCCAGGGACGGGGCTGTGAAGATAAGGCAGGCAAAAAAAAACCAGTGAGGACAGCTGTCTGCATTCAAGAGTACGGAGCCCAGCTTCTGTTACAAGGGCGATGATGGGAACAAGGTGATTCTGGGCACTGAGCTGCAGCAGAAGAGGCCTGGGGTGGTGTGTTTCACGGCAGGAGACGCTGGCTTCACCTGCGCCCGGGGTAAGGGACAATCTGCAGGGACCACTGGGCTGCCCTTGCGGGAGCAGGAGGAACCACGTGGAGACGCAGGAGCCGTGTGGGGGCAGGGGGGCCATGCGGGACCCAAGGAACCTTGCGGGAGGATGGGGAGGAGCTGATAGGAGAGCTGCCGGGACCAGCCTTAGTGGAGAAAGCTTCTGGAGCAGTCCACGTGAAGGTGGGGGACTGGGCAAGCGCGGAGTAGGGACACGAGGCCCAGGGCGGCCGCTGCAGGATGGCCAGGCCACCGCAGGGCTCGGTGCGGACCCGCGTCCCCGACCCCTGGGGGCGTGGCTCCCGGAAGGAGGAGCCCGCAGGGGGGCGGCGCGGAGCTCCGCGCCCTGGCCGCCGACGCGGGAGGGAGGCGAGAACCCGGCGCGAGCGGCGTTCGCCGGGCCGGGGGAGGGAAGTGGAGACGAGGAGCATCGGCGCGGGCTGGGAGGGCCTGAGGGAGGAGGGGACGGGTCCTGCCCTGCCACCCGGGCAGGCTGGCCTGTCCTGCGCTCACCGCTCACCGCGTCGCTACTGACGGCCCGCCTTCCACGGCGCCCGTAAGCATCCCCGGCCTCGATCCAGGGAGCAGAGAGCTCTAACCTCATTTCGTAGCGAGGAAAGCGAGCAACGACTCAGTGAAAGAGGTTCTCCCTAACCGGTGGCACATACGTGTTGAGCCCCTCCCCGCCCCAGCGGTCCGGGCTCCAGCTCTCAGAGCAGTGTCCCCCCACCACACCCTCCCGCGTCCGCCCATGCCCTGAGCTCCCCGAGCCTCGGCTTCCATTCGGCGGGAGCAGACCCCCGCCCCAGAGCGGCTGTGAGGCCTGAGCCCGGAGTCGCCTGCCGGAGTGGACGCCGGGGAGGGGACACAGGGCGCGCTGTCCCAGCCCTGAGGCGAGGCGGCGGCGGCCGCCAGGGGGCGCTGCTCCAACGCCGACGCGGGCACGCTCGGGCGTGGCTCCCGGGCTCCGCCCACCGCCGTCGGGGCGGGGCGCGCGTGCGCACTGAGCCCCCGCCCCGCAGGGGTTGCTGGGCGGGGCGACGGGGGCGTGCGGCCCGCGGGAGCCGGAGCTGGAGCGGCGCGGCGGGGCCGGGAAGATGTGGCGGCCGGTGAGTTCCCAGCCCGGCGCGGCCGGGCGCCGCTCCCGCGGGCCCCGCCAGCCTCCGTCCGGAGCCCTGGCGCCGCCCCGAGCCGCCCCGTCCTGGGCCGCGTCAGGGACCGTCAGGGCTCCTGGGGGCGGGCGTCCTTCGCCGTTGTCGGAGCCCCGGTTCTTCGCGGTAGCGACCCCTCGGCCGTGTGCTGGGGGGCGCCCGGTCCCCCCCGGAGGGCCCGCCGCCGGGCCTGCCCCCGGGCACGCCCCAGAGGCCGCTCGCTCGCCGCGACGGAAGCTGCCCCCGAGACAGCCCCGTGTGTGCCGCTCGTGGACACCCCTCCCGAGAC